CCACAGACAGGTTTCTCTGACCCACATCCACATTATTACAAATAACTTCATTTCTGGACATTTATGGTTTGATTTCTTTGTATGTGTGGATCTCTTGGGTTGTTACCAACATCTGGTGAAAATTTCATGTCATTAGCACCTCTAGTAATATATTTACTGAGAAAAATGGTGACATGTTCAATACTTATTTTACCCGCTGTATATCTCATGAAACATAGGTGGCTTTTAAGTAAACTACCACTGCAGCTACTGCCGTAACAAAAACTCAATCACTGAGAACATGTTTTTAACTAGTCATTTTAATAACCTAATCTCGGTTATCTGTGGCAGCCATCTTAAACAGAGCTGACTCCAAAACTTTATCAGTTGTACATCAACATCCAGTGATTATTTCCTGAAAGTTTGGTTAAAATCCCTCATGTGGTTCATGAGATATTTTGCTAACAGACAGAGTTGACTCGGAACAGTTCGTGGTAGAATTTTAAACAGATCTGGGCAACCTGTTGTCATGACAAGTGTTTGGGTTCAGTCTCAGCTACTACCACAAGAAAAATTACTTCAACATTCTAATAAATAGATGAGTGTTAGAAATGTTTATGTTTTCTAAAGTCACTTGGCTCTGGCAGCCATCTTAAACCAGATAGACTCCAAAACTAATCGTTCGTAGTCGTTCACCAGACGATTTCTTTTTGCAAGTTTGGTTAAAATTCATGCAGTGGTTCATGAGAAATTTTGCTAACAGACAAACACACAGAGACAAAAACATTTCATCTATAAGCGGCAGGTTATAAAAAAACAAACCTTCTTGTGTTTTTTTCAGAGAAAGACAAGCTGCTGACTTCTGTCTCCAGCTACGGCTCCCAGGATGTGCTCGGAGGCAGCGGCTCGTGTCCCAGCGGTCCGTCGGGCTTCCAGTCCCAGCCGCAGCTGAAGGAGGAGGAGGAGGAAGAGGAGGCTCTGAGAAGGAAGCTCAAGTACTTCTTCATGAGTCCTTGTGACAAATATCACGCAAAGGGACGCAAGCCTTTCAAACTGGCTCTGCAGCTGCTCAAAATCGTCGTCGTGACCGTTCAGGTGCAGCAGTCAGAGTCAGCTTCCACTTCCTGCTGCAGCTCTGAAAACGTTTGGATGTAGATTAAAATCATGAACCCAGATTTCATTCTCAATGGAAATTACCGTTAAATCAAATGTTGTGTTGAGATATAATCACATCTTTTGGCTGGAGGAATAACACCAAAGGTAAAAACATTACACGTAAATAAATAATTTCGATTAGCTCCAGTATCAGTACATGTAGTATTTTATTTAACATCTTAAAGCAGCATAAATCTCAGCAGTTAAGTTGCTAAACATACATTTAAAGCACAAATTCTTCCATCCGTGATGAATTTCCAAACTACGCCAACTTGGTGACCAGAAATAAAAATCTCCATCGTCTTCGTCGTTTTTTTCTGTTTGGTTTWCTGCGAATTGGACAGCCAATAAATGCGGACTTCGAAGGACGCAGCCCCTGAATCGAGATGCAGTCAGTTTTGCCAGACCCGAGGCCCCTCCCCCACCCTCATTCTGATTGGCTGCTAGGCCTGTCTACTGTGGTTGAATGTGAAAGCTGCGCCGCATCCAGAAAAACGTCTATTAAGTCTCAGTCAACCCGAAGATCAGCATGGCGCCCTGTGGGTGTCGTCACACAGAAATGAGGCGTGGCCAAACCAAAGAGGGTGTAGAAACCACGCCCCTCTCCCTAAAAGACTGTCTTTAAAGGTCATTTGGGAAGACTTTGAATAAAACTGCGTCAACTCAGGAACTTCTGCAAATCATTGTCTGAAAGCACAGTTCTCTGTGCCATCCATAAATGTAGATTAAAGCTCTATCATGCAAAGAGGAAGCCACATGTAAACACTGCCTGGGCCAAATTCTATTTAAAATAGATTGAGGCAGAATGGAAAACTATTCTGAGGTCAGTGGATGCCCATGCTTCTTCCTAAAGAGAAGAGGGACCAGTTAACTTCTTATTAGCTGCCAGTTTTAATGCCTGCTTCACTGATGGTATGGGGGTGCATTAGCATTCACGCTATGAGCAGGACTGATGAACAGCTAAATAAAACCGTCCTGTCCCAACTTTCTGAGATGTGTTGCTGTATTCAAAACTTAAAATTAGTGATTTTTCCCACAAATGACACAAATTCTTAGTTTCAACATTTGTCATGTTTATTATGTTCCGTTAGGAATAAAATCTGTGTTTATGGGACTACATTTTAAACAACTTCAGAACTGTGTTTGTGTTTTACGTGAACATGATGTCGTGGCTGCCCGTGTCCTCAGATCACCTGTGTGTTTTTGTCACAGCAGAGTAGTTCTGTAACCACACTGTCCATCTCCGCCTCCCAGCTGGTGCTGTTTGGACTGAGCAACCAGATGGTGGTGACGTTCAAGGAGGAAAACACGGCAGCGTTCAAGCACCTGTTCCTGAAGGGTTACCAGGAGAACGCTCCTCAGGCTGTCCACACGCAGGCCGAGCTGTACAGCCGCATTAACTTTGCTGTGGAGCAGGTAGACTGACGACTAACGTTTGTCCCTTTTAATCAGCAGTTTTAAATATTCCTTTCTCTCCTCAGTACTTGGCTCTGCCTCAGATCGCTCTGGGTCAGTACGCGTACGTGATGGGTGTCGGAGTGAACGGAAGTGCCCTCTCCCTCTGCCAGAGGTATTATAGGAGGGGCACCATCGACCCCGTCAACGACACCTTCGACATCGACCCACGGGTCGTTACAGGTAGCAGCACCCGTCTTTGTTTATCTCTCGCTACCAACGGTGAACGGGTGTTCATATTTTTGCCAACATCAGTGTAAAGGTTTCAAACAAGTTAGTATCTTACCTGTTGTAGGTAGCTCTTTAAAGAGTAACTTACCCCAAAATTAACTTTTTTTAGCTGATAAACAGTCTAGAATGTGTCTAAAATGTTATACAGTACTGTTTCTGTGCTAATTTTGATGTTTTTGTGCGTATTTGTTCAAATCTGTTATATTTGGTCTAAAACCGTGTTTTTGCTGCTCATTTGGGTAGAGCAGTGGTACTGCAGGCTAATTTGCATATTGGTTAACGGCTCTCCACTGTGACGTGTCTTCTCCACAGTTTCGTCACAGCGGCTGTGTTCTGGTATAAAAGCCTCTCTCTAAGACACGCCCCTGCAGCAGTCAGAGGGTGGAACAGTTAGCAAGCTTAGCATGATCGTCTGTTGACCTTCAGCCCACACACACACACACACACACACACACACACACACACACACACACA